CCCAGCCCTGAGCCCAGCCCTGAGCCCAGCCTTGCACCTCTGGCCCAGCGCAGGGCTGCCAGGGCCCCGCTCCCCCTCTCCGGAGCAGATCAGCCAAGGCTGGGGGGGGGCAACACCATCTGCTGCTGGGTGCCCCCTGCCCGGCTCCACAGGCACAGGGTGCTCAGCCAGGTTGGCATCACCGGGCACCACGGCAGGGTCTGTCTGCAAAGGAGGGTGGGGTCAGGGTTCTGGGTCACCATCTGGGATGGCACGGCACGGCATGGCACGGCACGGCACGGCACGGCACGGCGCATCATGGCACGGCATGGCACAGGTCGCTGCAAACTCCTGGCTCCCTCCCGCAGACCCGTGCAGCGACGCTCTCCCAGCCGGAATCAGTCAATGCCCGGAGGAGGCGGCGGCGGCAGGTCAGTCTTTATTACTAAATAAATAGTCGTATAAATCTTGTGCAAAAACGTGTGGCAAAAGCCATGGGCCTCGGTGGGCGGAGGGGCCCGCGCTCCCCGCACCCTGCCCGCGGCAGAGGTTCCCGGCGCGGTGAAGTGAAGCGGCGGCTCTGGAGCTCATCTGTGCAAGCCAGAGCCCCCCAGAACCGCCGGGGCAGGGCCAAGACCCCCCGGTCTGGGCTCACACCCGCCAGGGCAGAGGGACGGAGGCTGCATGAATCCCTGAGGAGCAGACAAGCACCGTCCAGCCCAGTCCACCGTCGTGCCGGCTGTGCCTGTGCCATGCCGGGGGCCCGGGGCAGAGCCTGTCGGGCTAAAGCGGGGAGCTCGAGGCCTGGCCGTGCCGCCGCTCCCGGGCCTCCGCCGTCCCCACGGTCCCCAGCGGCACCACCACCTCCTCAGGCTGGCAGCTCTTGTTGAGCTCCACCACGCGCGGCACCACCGTCGACCAGCGATCTGGGGTGACAGCGGGAGTCGGTCAGCACCGGGACCCCCCCGTGGCTGCTCCCCCCTCGTTGCCACCCAGCTGCCAGCCCCCGGGGACGCTCCCAGCCCACGGCACCCCCCTCACCTCTCCGCAGCCGGCCCACCGTGTGGGAGAAGCCGTAGTACTGGTACGTGTCGCTCTTGCCCGGGTCCTCACTGATGATACCCAGATTCTGGTTCCAGTGCGACCAGTTCACCTCGTCCACCCTGCGGGGAAGGGCAAGACCCAGAGGGGCCACATGGAGCGACTGGGAGCCAGGGTGGCAGCTTCTGCCCCCCCCCGAACCATCCCACCACCCGGCTCCAGATTAGTACAAACTACCCAGCAAAGGACACGCGGCGCCGGCACCCCGACACGGCGCTGGCTGCGCTGAGGGGGGCTCGGCTGCGCCCGGTCTCCCAGCGCCGGCCGTTACCTGAAGCACCAGCGGCGGTCGGGGGTCCCGTCGGTGCCCTTCCCCACGGTGACCATCTCCCCCGAGCGGAAGGCTCTCCGCAGGAACACCGGGAAGGAGCGCTCGATGTCCAGGATGGTGGTGGCCCACTGCCGGGGACACCAGGGACCCCTCAGCCGTGTGCGGATGGAGGGACGGGGGTCCCTCACCCAGGAGCTTGGGGTGCTGCAGCCCCCCAGGCACAGGCAGCCCCTGGAGCCCCCACTCCAGCAGCTCCCGGGGTGGTACCTGCAGCTTCCAGATGTGTTTGCTCTCCTTGGAGACTTGGCCCACTGTCTCACCCATGAGAGCGATGAGCATGTTGAGGAGGAGCACGAAGGTGAGGATGATGTAGGTGACGAGGAGGATGATGAAGACGGCGGGGTACTTGGCGCTCTCGAGCATCTCCAGGTCGCCCATGCCGATGGTGAGCTTGAAGAGGTCGAGCAGGAAGGTGCTGAAGGTCTGGCTGTCCCGGCAGGACGGGTACGTGGGCACTGTGCAGTTGGACGGCTCCTCGCCGCAGGACTCGCTGCTGGGACACGGGTTGAGGAGGGACACCAGAGCTGGGGGAGGAGGGACA